CCGAACAACCCGATCGTCATCGACTTTGAAGATGATGAAGATGTCAATATTTTTGTTTTATATGTTCCTCAACTGGGAAATCATCGTCTTAGGGTAAGCCTTCATTCCATTCCATTTCCGGATCTAAATGTAGAAATTGTATCGGTCGAAATTGGAGTGGGTGATCGTATCGTCAATCGTCCCAATAGAAGTCCCACCGGATGCACACCACGTATTGTTTGATGATAATGTTGGAGTGGTTCTTACAAGAAATGAAGATGCGATCATAATAAGCTCAGAGACGAGGATGACGGTGAGATGTCCTCTTTGTCCGTTGTGGAGGATATGTAGAAGATGCAATCGTCGCATGTATTGTATATGTATTGACCTACAACATGCAGACAGTTATGACATACTTTTATTGTGATTACCATTTCATATCTCTAGTGACTTATGAAAATTTAAAAACACTGATAATCCATGTCTTCTTTCGTTCCCGTTACCAAATTTAATATACAATCATGATGAAAATTCTAGCTATGAAGTAATTAAAGAAAACTAACCGATTAATATACTAAGAAAATAAAAATTGGAAACAAATAAGATAGAAAACATGTAATGCAACAAAAACAAATTTCAAAACACTGATAATCCATATTAGCAAGTCATTTCACGATCAAAAACACGTCATTCAAGTGCATGTGTTACTCAAAGGTGTCGGGTTCCTACATGTTTGCCTGTTGTGTCCAGACCCCCCCACATCGGCCACATTTTCGTGTGCTGGTCGACCTTTCAATTCTTGACCGTTTACGTTGTGTAGGAGGGCGACCTGGTGCTCGACGTATATTTGGGGACAACATTTTGATGGATCGAATGGCATGAGGAACAACCCAATCTGACTTCATTTCGACGAGGTAAAGCACTTCTGTGTACGCAGCTCGCCAAAACTCTGTAGTGTAGTACGAGGAGTACAGGTCATACAGTGATTTACTGGTTGCGCAAGCAGCTCGGGAAGCATGTGCACACGAAATTTGCTGCATCTAAAACTCTCGGCATGAGCATGTGTTACCTATTAGGTCGACAGTATACATTTTTGCACCTAGACCAATGTCGAAAACGAATTCATCCAAATTTCGTACTTGTAAGATCACACCGATGTCAAACGATTTTCTCAATTCCTTCTCCGTTTTTGGTATTAAGGCACTATAACAATTGGTAGATGCGTTTCTCCTCTCAAAAAACCATTGTTGCATTAACGATGTAATGTTTTCGACCAACGAGGTTATAGGAAAATTTCGTTTTGCCTGAGGACTGCGTTTAGTGACTCCGCACTGTTATTAGTCATGACGTTGTATCGATCACCAATGGAATTTGCCCGTGACCAAGTGGAGAAACCAGCAAGTTCCAAATAAGAAGCCACGACTGGTCAAATAGTTCTAATATGTGTCATGAACTGCTCGAATGTCAAAAGACGGTATGCTAGCGCTGCATGCTTGAACAAAACAATGACATTGCTACTACTGTACCTAACAATAAGATTTTTCTCGATATGCCATATGCAAGCACTATGGTAAGAAAGTGGGAATAGCCTCGTAATGGCCCCCGTAGTGCTCTTATGCTTGTCTGATACAAATACTAGCTGATTTGAGTTATCAATGATATCTTTCAACTTCGTGAAGAACCAATACCATGATGCATTTGTTTCTCCATCGACAACCCCCAAGCAATAAGATATATTTGCATGTTGGCATCTTGTGCTGCAGCTACTAGTAGTGTTCCATTATACTTGCCCTTCAAATGACTCCCATCAACATAAATTACCGGCCTCATGTACTCTTAAAAACCACTTATACTCGGCCCGAATGCTGAGAAGAAGTACAAGAACCTGTAGTTGATCTCGAGATCAATGTGTGCGACGGTTCTTGGGTTTCTAGTAGTTAGCATGTGATAGTATGATGGCAAATTTTGAAAACTTTCTTCAGGTAAACCACGAAGAAATTTAAGGTATTTCTCCTTACCCCTCCGCGCTTTATTGTAGCTAATCCGTACACCAAATTCACGTTCCATATCACCTATAATACCGACAGGAACGTATGGTTGGTATGCAACATTCAATCGTTGCATTATGTGATGCCCAATTAGTGGACTCGTTGCATGAATTTGTGAATTTCGCCGAACATCTAAAGGACATGTGTACTCAGGTATGTACTTTCGAATCTTAAATATGTTTGAAGTTTTTATCTTATAAGCGCGCAAGTCAATGACACGTGCTATCGATGCAACACACAGTAAGAGATCTAGGATTCGACTTTTTAACCTTGAAATGAAACTTCTTTGTCAAAGCCTTCAGTCAAAGCCTTGTGTGTAGCTGTTTCTTGCTAAAGAATATCTGATTCTCCTCAATGTTGGCTTCATCCATCGACTGAATTTCATTTCCCATATAAGAATCCCCTTTGCCCAAACTTACATCCATATTATGAATCATTTGTGACACTTGTAGTTCGCTCACACCCACTTCATCACGTCTACACAATGCATCTTCTATTGGTGAGAAATTGTCAACTCCAACATGCACTTCGTGCTCTCTACATCATATTTCTTCGCAATTACATACAAGGCTGCTTGTGTGTGAACATAAATGTACCATTACAAATCCTCATCGTCGTCCACATCTGCATGGTGTATATGCATGTTCGGAACTTTAAATTTCGATTGAATTCAAAACTTCATTCTGTCAAAATCAATTTCTCGAATAATGTGTGTACAAGCTCTTTATATCTAATATCACGTCGACTAACAATTGATGTTGGTCGGTCCCCTAACCACTTCCACGTGTCGTCCATGTTGACGAATGCACCACCGTACGAGACCATGAATCTCATAACATCTCCTATATCTGCATGCCATGAACGAAAATAATAACAGCTAATAATGAATATTGAAAACGAAGATGCTAGCCGCATGCAATACATGAAACGCTGTACACAAAATGTTCCCTAATTTTGTTTAGTGCTTAGTGTCATTCTCGACATTTGAAAATTCGAGAATTACATTTTTAAACTATCATTCTCGACGTTTATAAAATGTCGAGAATGACATGACGGGATTTACTTCAACATATGTATTTATCATCTTCTTCAACCACCATTTTTGAAAAGAATTAATTCCACCATTAATGACATTCTCAATTCAAAAGTACCTAAAATTATTGTCTACCTAAGTTATTGAAAAATGTTGTTACAACAAATATCTACTACGTATTTGGATAATTCAATTCAATGAAAGTAAATATATAACAACTACTACTAAACCCTAAACTTATCAATAAAAATAAGATTTTAAAGAAAAATACATTATATCAAGAAAAAATGAGGGCCGAATCAACTTCAAATTTGGACGAGATAAAATTTTTTGACCTGAAATCAAATTAAGCATTCAAAGTTAGAATCATATACTTCTTTTTTTTTTTTAACAAGTATGGTGGCTTCTCATGAAAGTCACTTGCTCTTCTCAAAATATGTGTCAAATTGGAAAAAAATTAATTAAGATTGAGGAATCATTTCATTAAGGGTAAAATAGATAATTTGATATCAAATTTGACCATTTTTTCAAGAATTATAAGAAAATGACATTTTTCAATTAACACCCATAAAATTGGACATTTGTGAAAATATCCCTTCTTTATATAAAAACTTCTTGTCCCAAATGGCTACGAAGCCGAACAGTACATTAGACCACCTCGGGAAATACTAAAGTATGACTTATCAAAACATACATATTAGCAAATCACGCATGAATTTCAGTTTGACTGCTCGCTTGCTCCAAACATAATATTGAAAAAGTATTTTTATCTTTTCGTAGAATAGGAACGCTCATACAACAATGACAAAGACACTATCCCACCCTCACTCCGACACCCACACCCATTATAAGCACAGTAAAATTTACGTGAAATTTTACTTTCAAGGATGAATATTTTTTTAAAAAACCAATCATTTCTCAATGACATTTACGATGAAGATTTTATCATTTGAAAGATAAATTTCTTGTATTTGTACAATAAACCCTATTTTTGTCTCCGTCCAATTGTGGTACACTCACTAATTAATCAATCACCCCATTATTTAAAGTTTACCCCCACGAATTGATTTTGATTACTCTAAAAAAATGTATTGTTATTGCAAAGATAATAATGGTTTGAAAAATAGGACCCAAACAGTGGTTTAATAATGACAAGAACAGTCAAATAGAAGCGCACTATTTACCTAATATTGATATTATTCACTCCTCACATGGGGAGAAGACTTCTTTGTCTGATATTTAACCGACTCTTCACCAAATTATATGCTACAAATTCTTTCAATAATCATTCTTTCTTTGGTGAAATCAACAAGTCGAGTATCAAAATAGGCATTAAAATAAAGGAAAATGGTAAGATAAAGATACGAAGCCTATGTCAGAAAATGGCCCATGAATGAAGTATGCCTTACACGTTACTACAGTATGAAATCTCGAAAAGCTACCAAATTCATGAATTTCAGATCTAATTTATCATAATTTGTTCCTCCATTTTATTCTGTATTTCTTTTAACTGTTTTCTTGAATTGGTCTATATTGTGATTCTCTTTACATTTCTCTCACCCTCGTCGCAGAGGCAGCCTCATTTATGATTCATGTACCTTGGAGTTGGTTGTGTTTCAAGAAATTGACTTATCCTTTTGCAGAAGGGGATCTGGGGTGCCCTTAAATTTTTATCTGCAATCAAAAGATTTTGGAAGGTTATTGGATTCCTAGTGCCAAAAACCCATATTAGAAATCAGTTATTTTATTTTTAATTTTTCATCTTTACCTCAAAGATTTCACCTTGTTGCTATAGGGTTTGTAGAGTTTCTTGATTTATTGTTTTAAGGGTACTCAAGAATCACTTCCATTTACTCCTTCTAGCCTGTTTGTTAGAGTGTATTCTACTCGGGACAAAGTTAAAATCTTGTCTATATTGTCTATTCGACTCCATGCCCTTCATGTATAAATCACCTTCAAGCAGAATCCTAGGAGGGAATGGGATGTTGTATGCTACTATTGGTTTTGCTTCTTGTTTAGTTTTTATATACATGTCTTTTGGGGATCCGTGGTTCAATCTCCATGGAAGAACAAATTTCAGCTTTGTGAAGAGGAATGGGACTCAGTTCATAGTGGATGGTAGGCCTTTTTACTTTAATGGGTGGAATTCTTACTGGATGATGGACCATGGTGTGGATGAATCAAGAAGACCCAGAATCAGAGAAATGCTGCAAACTGGTGCTAAGATGGGTCTCACTGTGTGTAGAACCTGGGCTTTCAATGATGGTGCATACAATGCCCTCCAAATTTCCCCTGGTAGATTTGATGAAAGAGTATTCAGAGTAAGAAATTATGTTCAGAGTATAATCATTCATTGCTTATGTGTTCCTAAATGTAGGTGTATTTTCGTTTTACGGTATTAGTTGGTTGTTTGCGAGACACATACTGAGGGGCTTGAGATTTTGGTTTCTTGATTGTGAAAATTTTCTGTGCACAAGTATTGAGGGTGAACCACTATAAATATGTGTGTTTTGGTTTCGTGTTTCTGATGTTTTGCTCAGTATTGCTATCCTAATTGGAACTAGGGTTCAATGATCGTGAATACAATGCTCTCCAAATTTCCCCTGGTAAATTTGATGAAAAGTGTTTAGAGTGAGAAAATTCTTTTCCAGAGTATAGTCGTTCATTGTTTACATGTTCCTAATTTAGGTGTATTTTCAGGTTTACGGGTATTAGGTTGAATTTTCGCGATACACATGCTGAGAGGCTTGAGGTTTTGATGTTCTTGATTTTGAAAATTGTCGAGTAGAAGTATCGAGAGTAAACCACTATTAATATGTATTTGGTTTGTGTTTCTGATGTTTTGCTATCCTAATTGGAACTAGTGCTTAATCCCTAACAACTATTTTCTCTTACAATTTGTGGTTAGATATTTGTTAGCCAAATTTGCAGCTAAGGAGAAATATTTCTTAGGTGTAGTTTGGATTAGTAACTGTACAAACCGATGCAAATATATATCTAATTTGGTTCATTTAGCATAGGAAAGTTCAAGAAAAATATTCATCTGCTCAACAGTTGGCTGGTGTATGATTGTGTGGGCTTTTATGCGAGTCTTGTTTCTCTTTTTCCTTGATTAAGTGCATTTTTGAGTGACTTATAAATGATAACAATAACCCAGTTATATAACTGCCAAAGGCTTTTGATGAGATACATTATGGCCATGTTTGGTATATGCTGTATTGTAGTGTACTGCTATATATGCATTGGATATATTCACCTACTATTATTATCCTTATTGGGCACTTCTCTATCAATGCTTATACGGTCTACATGCAGGCATTAGATTATGTAATCGCAGAAGCCAACCAACAGGGAATAAGGCTGATTCTAAGCTTGGTTAATAACTTGCAACCATATGGTGGAAAGACTCAATATGTTAAGTGGGCATGGATAGAGGGCGTTGCTTTAAGCTCTTCTAATGATTCATTCTTCTACGACCCATCGATTCGGCATTATTTCAAAAATTATGTCAAGGTAAACTTATAAATTTGCCCTTTAATTTTGGTAATCGTTGTCATTGAAAAACTTATTTTTGTTTTATGGTAATCATTGTCTAGGATTGCACGCAAAATCCCATGAAGTCACTACGTGTCGATTCTTCTCTCTCATTTTGCACCCGTACATGATTCATCACCAATACATTGATACTGTAGCGTCTATTTTCAATCGCAATTTAATTGTGCTTTGTATCCTCCTATTTGGCAGACAGTACTAACAAGAAAAAATACATTCACTGGGATTGAGTACAGGGACGACCCAACTATCTTTGCGTGGGAGTTAATTAATGAACCCCGCTGCTTGACCGATCCTTCTGGTGACACACTCCAAGTAAGTTTTAAACTTCTTACACCATTTCAACTCTAGGTTATGCTAAGAAAACCTTGCTATATATGCCTGATCCTTTAGGTGTTGAATAAATAGAACTTCGGATTCAAAACATTGTACAAAGGATTGTAATTTCATCCAATAATTGACATTAGGCTGCCGTGCTGAACCTTATCATTTGTGTTTAAACTATAAATATTAACATTAACAGTAAGATGGTAAGCCATTGTTCCAATTATGAGCCACTTTTGGGATGTTTTGGCAAGTTGACATTGTTGATATTGCCCATTATTGGTAACAGATTTCATTTCTCGCCTTCTCTTTTTCCTATAAAATGGAGAATGTGTCTTGCTATGGCTAATCTTTTCCCAATATGCTTACAGTCAATTATAGAGTTCATCAAGTTACGTCAACTCGAACTTTATAATACAACATGTAACTCTGTCTAGCTCACATTTATCAGATGGCACCCCTCTTTACGAACTTCTGAGGGTCCTATTTGGGTTCTTTCAACGGAAAAATGAGTGTTTTTTTAATATTTACATGCATAATGCTTAGACCGTGAAGATCTTGATATTTATGAGTGTTTATTTATATTTGGGTTCTTTTAACGGAAAAATGTGTGTTTATTTATATTTACATGTATAATGCTTAGGCCATGAAGATCTAGATATTTATGAGCTGTATCTCATACAATTGCAGGATTGGATAGAAGAAATGTCGTATTTTGTGAAATCAGTTGACCGGAACCATCTACTGACTGTGGGTCTTGAAGGATTCTATGGACCTAAAAATTCGAAAAGGTTAAGCTTCAATCCAGAGTTCTGGGCGGCTGATCTTGGATCTGATTTTACACGAAACTCAATGATCTCAACTATTGATTTTGCATCAGTTCATATTTACCCTGACCATTGGTATGCTTTTTATCTATTTATGTATCCAGTTACTCATTTAGTTATCGTAATCTGCCATGTTTGGTTGAATATCCAATCGTTTTCATTTGGTAGGTCTCATGTTCAGAATTTTGAATATAACCTAAGATTCGTTTCCAAGTGGATGATCTCTCACATCGAAGACGGTGACAAAGATCTCAAAAAGCCCGTAATGTTCACCGAATTCGGTTTATCTAACGAGGACCTAGATTTTGACTCCTCTCTGCGCGAGAGATTCTACAAAGTGATTCTTGATATCTCATACAAGTCTGCTAAAAGGAACAAGTCTGGAGCCGGGACTTTGGTATGGCAGTTTCTGGTCGAAGGGATGGAAGAGTTTAACGATGAGTTCGGGATTGTTCCGTGGAAAAGGCCATCGACATATCAGCTATTTACAGAGCAGTCTTGTCGACTGGCAAAAATCCAAGGAGCTCTTCTTTCGCAAGAAAAACACTTGAAAAAGTTGTGCGCGCAAAGATAATTCAAGCATATATATACATTTTTTTCAGATTGAATTCTAATTCGAATTCTAATTCTTGCGGGCAAAATAAGGTTGTATGTTTTGCTTACTGCATTATTCAAGTGTGTAATATCATCATATGAAACATTTGTGCAGAGATTTGCTGCACAATTCCCCTAGCTTTCGTCGCGAGTTTTTTTTCTTCTTTTATGGTCCGTTTGATTGTAAATGTGGAAAATAGGTGGAAAAAAAATGAATTCTAAGGAATTGAATTGTCTAGAAATTGTTTTATTGGGAATTGTAATTAATTGTGTTTGATCGATATAATTTTCCACCTGGAAAATGTTGGAAGTTAGGTCTCCGTTTGACTTTGTTTTTCATAGAAATTGTCCATTAAAGTGATAATTTCTTTTATCATTGGGTCTAGAATTTGTTTTACTTGCCAAATAAAAAAATTAAATTTTTTTTTTTTAAATTACCATATCGAATACCATTCGTTTGGCTTTGTTTTGCATGAAAATTGTCAATAAAAGTGATAATTTTTTTTACCATTATGTCAAGAATTTTTCCCAATTACCAAAAAAAAAAAAAAGCTAGAAAATGAAAATTCACTTAAAAGGTGGGAAAGCAATTTCAACAAAATCAGGGGAAATGTGCACGTGTTGAGGTGTCAAGACGGACGAGCCGGCCAGACTTGCGAAAATCGGCCCGGATCGACTTGGGACCACAGGCCAACCCGTGACCAAAGTGGGCAATTCACGGGTCAAGGAGGTGTGACCCACGGGTTTCGCGGGTTGCACCTTCACGGGCCGCGATTAACCCGCTGGCCCGTAAAAAAAAAAAAAAAAAAACTAATTTTTTTTGAAAAAAAGGGGCTCTCCCCCAAGCTAGCTAGCTGCAGGCTGGCAAGTTGCATGCATGCATGCTATATGTATTTTTTTTAATTTTTTTTCCTATCACGGTAATTTCAGTTAAGAAACGATATTTACCCTCACTCGTAGCCTTCCAAAAAATTATACTTTTTATTAAAATTGCAAATATCATCATCATCCATCTCTATTATATTTCTTTCTT